CCACGAGGTTCGAGGAGGGAGGGTCCTCGGTAAGAAATTCAGGCATCTTTCGTTTAAATCAATTTCGATCTTGGAAAACGTTTGTATACAGCTAACAGTTTAGATATTTCTGAACTGGTTTGCATGAAGGCAGTTTATTCGATATTTTTCTTTGTCTCACTTGTTTTCATTATAACCTGTGAGTGTCGAATTTTCCAAGACGTCTTTCTTCATGCGAAACAGAAATTTCAACTATATATTTATGATTCTAAGTATAAATGTCCTTTTAGTTCCTAATTCCCTAAAAGAAAAAAAATCCTCCCAGCTCACATATTCCATCTAGGACATTCTCAGCATCCTTCTGTAGACACTCCCTCTTTATCTGTCATGAAATTGTTCAACATCCACTGCTCTATAAGAATATTGATATTTCACAGCAATTCAGCACTTTTCTTTGTTTCTAATGAGATTTTTCTTTCTCTTTATACTTTGTTTAGCTTTTTAAAGGCATCGTACGCCATCGAATTTATGCTATATTTTCCATCGTCTGCTTCGACATATCCAATATAGGTAAATCGCAATACTTGCTAGATTCTGACGGCTGTAATTCGCATCTGAGGATGGTTCTCTTGTTAACGATAGGTACATTCTCTTTTATTACAGGTGATAAAATATGTTGCGTATATAATTTACGATTAGGACACGCCTAAACACGATAGTCTTAATTATTTTCTGTCAAGGATCACTTGTTTTCTATCCTCCTTATCCTCATAATGTTCACATCCTGTCAACTTATCAATCATTCATACAACATCGTATTCATCATAACCATCTTAACAGTAATTTTCTACATTGATGGTTCTTGGGCCTTGTATTGCGTGAATTGTAGTATAAAAAGATCTGTCTATTCGTGCTTTGAATTATGAAAGAACATGAATTCACACACACACACACACATATATATATATATATATAAATATAAATATAGGTAACTATACTCGTTTCGAAAAACCTTCGAATTTTTGATTTGCCAATAATCAAATCAATCTCGAGCGAAAAAAAGGTTTTAAAAAAAGAAAGAAACATGAAAGTCTGTCGAAAAAAATCGCCCAGATACAGGTTTGAAGCCCAAAGAAAAAACCCCGACACGAGTAAACAACTAACTAACAAAAGAGCTCAATACAACCGTAGAGCAGACCTAGATAAACCTAGTGAGCCAGACAAACCAACCCAGGTTTCACCTAAGCGGATCGTCAGGGAAAGCTGGCTAAAGAGGCAAAAGAGAAACAGCATATTTATAGGCGATAATCAAAATCATACCATGTGACCAAAGAAAAAGAAAAAGAACACAAGAACACCGGGGGTGGGTAAAGATTTATTCAAACACCTAAAAGAGGAGGGGATATTAAAACACGAACAATAAAGGTAGAATAACAATACAAACGGGGAAATTCGTCCTAATTCAATAACCAAGATTTTTTATGTTAAAAATCTCGGTTTTGGAGTTTAAGAGATGGTTACGTTGATTATATAAAGCTATGGCTAATTTCTTCTCTGTACATAGTTTGCAAAATTTTTGGCCTGCTTTATATTTGGGGTATTTTTTTAAAATATTTCCCATTTAAGGATGGGGTCTTTATTGTTTTCCATACATAGGTGGATAGCGTGGTACTATGTTTAGTTTTTTCGTTTTTAAAATATACATATGTTTTTTTATATACACATATATATATGAGTTGAAGAACAAATGTAGATCATATATATATATATATATATATATATATATATATATATATATATATACGCATTTATCTTCATTCAAACATGACATATTGTGTTTACTCATATAGAGATCCTTTCTAGTTGTGTAATCAAGTTCTTGGTGTTTAGATGTAAATCATCAAGGAAAGCTCCATAGTTTTTGTTAACCCAAGTACTTTCAAAAAATCAACTTCAGGAGTAAATTACACTGACATTGTGATGGTGATTTTTAAAAATATGCGTGAACATGCTCTGTAATTATTTCAAAATTTTAAATTTATCTGTTGTAGTTATCAGATATTATTGCAAAGCAAGGGTTTCAGTATAAAGGAGCGGACCGGAAATTGGTAGAAATATAAAATGGTATTAATCTTATATGCAGTTTAATATGTTGTTACTATATTCATAATAAATTTTGTTTAGTGTGGGGTGTTTGCTTTTGATATAGAGGGCTTCGAGAATTTAAAATTTTTGTTTATTTTTCCGTCGTGTAGTAAATTGATGTTGTCAACAGGTATTTTCCTGTATCTTGAAAGTGAGCAGGAATGTATTTTTAGATATTGTGCTATGGAACTTCTACCCGACAAATGAAGTGTAAGATTTCTTGATAATGTTGTAGTCGTCAAACCAACATATGTACTTACTTTTCTGTCAGAGATACAATTTTACAAAGGACATGCAAAACTCACAAAGCATATAACTTGTCGAGAGCGTGTTATCTCGCGTGATCAACAATCTGAACAAGGTCAGCACACTTAAACCCCCAGTCACGATGACTTGTGAATTCGTGCTAGCACAGCTATCGACGACCATCATGGGATCCGTCTATCCAAATTTCACTCACAAGGCTTGGGTCAACCCATGGTGCGGTTTTCAGGCACTTTCCAAAGATGCCACATAGGGGAATCGTCCCCCTCCAGACCGATAACATCAGGAAGTTTACTTCCTGACAAATCAGCCGTGGTGAGATTCGAACCTGGGTCTCATGGTCAGAAAGCGAACGTTCTAATATATATATATATATATATATATATATATGTATATATATATATATATATATATAAAGGAGTTGTCAATGGTTAATATATCTATTACTGATATAAGTGGCTATTAAATGTGTAAGGCAAATGCATTACCATTTATTCTTACTATACATAAGTATTGCGTATGATTTTATGTGTTTGCGGGAAGTATAATAGTATCCAAAATAAAAATGGATATGACGAGAGAAAGTGGAAAAGCTTATAAATGACTCGTTTCGTCGACCTGTGTTGTGTTCAATTTCTTTAGGTCGGAATGAAAGACCAAACTGTGTAAGAAAAATGTGTTGGGTTTATTGAAGATAAGAGGGGCAATAAATTAAATTATCTTGTCAGATCCGACTACCAGAAAATACTTACCAGAAAGTGTTTACCACAAAGTGTTTTTCTTTTAGTTTATATGTATATATTAGAAACGTTGGTGTCTGTTGATTTTGAAATCATCCCACTGAGGCTATAAACTGTTTCCAGCAACGTAAAAAAAACTCCCAAAAAACAAAAAAACCTCTCTATAAGACATAACGCGTAACAAGACGTTAAACGCACTGTCAAACATTTGCCCACATTTTGAACTTAATAAATACCAGTGGAATCAGAAAAAAAGAGATCACTGAGAAGAAAAAGCGTTGAAAGTGCGCTAATCTGCTAATTCTCGACACTGAACATAAGACCAGGACCTTGCATAATATCAGCAATCATCGCAAAAATAATAATAGCACAATGTGCGATACGAGCTTAGTCAAAAAAAAAAAAAATGATCCACTTATTGGGATTATTGGGATTAGCACTTTCAATGTTTCAATATTTTTTTTCTTCTCAGTGATATATATATATATATATATATATATATATATATATATATATATAAATATTTAAATCATATATATATATATATATAAATATATAAATCATTTGAAGACGATATATATATATATATATATATATATATATATATATATATATATATATATATATATATTACATTCACTTACGTGCTAATACCATTGGGAAAGGTGTGAATCCTCTCCAGCTATGGGTAAATAGCAGGACAGACTGAGTTCTATAGCCTTGGACAACTCTGAATTCAAAACCTGCGGGGAGTCGTTTGGGGACTTTGTGGCACGTAGTGTACTAGGTCTCTGTATTCGACCCTTCATAAAGTGTGGATGGTCCTGCACGAAACCTTCACCACTATAATCTCATGTGCTGTTGTCTGGCTGTCGGTTACCTAGGAACCAATCTGCTTGACCCTCATACGTCGAATACGACGGCAGAGTCGAAATATATATATATATATATATATATATATATATATATATATATATATATATATATATCTCAAACACTTTCTGGCTTCTAGACGCGACGATTAGAAGCCAGAAAATGTTTGATATATGTCTCAAACATTTTCTAGTCGTCGCGTCTGATTAGGAAATATATTGCCTCTCTTATGCTAAAATATCCCAACACATTTTTCTCCATTACAGTTTTTTCTTTCATTCCGACTCGAAACACATCGACGAAACGCGTCGTTTATAAACCTTTACACTTTTTCTCGTCGTCTTCAAATGATTTTATGATATAAAAATATATGAAATCAGAAAAAGAGGATTATCAGTGGTTAGCAAGCAAGACAAGTATCATTGAAAGAAAAATACCCGTATGATATATTTCAGTTGAAGTTAAAAGCAGGACAGAATTAGAAAGTGTGGGAAGCGAGAAGTGGGGAGAGGTGTGAGAATAGATTTAAGATAGATGTCACGATCATAGCTAGAAAATCTCGTAGGTGGAATTCATGTCTACAATTGTAAATTAGTTCGGTGACGTAAGTGCCCCTTTGAATTGTCTGGGCATGTGACGAAGGATGCCAGGTGTCGAAGCGTTGTTTCTTTTCTCTTCGTGTATTGTGCAAAGGTAATTAGTTTTGTTTTCCGGTGGACTGAACGGATATATTTCCTTTTATTTGCCTGCTTTTCTCATTAGTTTGGGATTTCTATCCTTTTAATCTCAATAATGGTGTTCTTATTTGTTTTCTCTATTTGCCATTCTAGGGCACCAGTAGTGTTTATTATATCGTCTTTCATTCATTCTATCGTCTTTCATTTTCATTCATTCATTCCTTCCTTCATTCACCAATCTGTGATTAGATCAAGTGCTTTTTTCATTCTTTATTCTTCTTTTTCTCTCTTTCTTGAATTTTTCCTCCTTATACTTCTCGCTTACAGCGATATCACATTGAAACACCCGTTCCCGTATCATCACCGAAGTTGAGCAAGGTCGAGTCTAGTCTGTACTTAGATGGGTAACCACTTGGGGATACCAGGTGCTGTAAGATTGGGTGTGCAGGTGGTGTGATGGATAATGGCTCAGAATTGTTAGAGAGTCGAGTTCCAATTTCAGTTGGGTTCGTTATAGTCACTTATGCGTAAATAGCCTTGGGAAAGGCATGAACCCTCATTTTATCATCCCCATCCAGTTATAGGTTAATTAGTAATACTTGTTTCACTAAACCATGATTAACTCCAAAAGAAAAAAAAATTTTCAAAACTAAAATTATTTTCTGGCTTTAAATAATCTGAAAATGGTTGACAATCTGTAGAAAACAAATCAACCAGCTTCTCATTTTGTTTGTTTCTTTTCCATCTCTCCTCTTCCTTTCCTCCCCCATCTTCAATTTTTCTTCCTTTTTATGCTATCCCATTTTTAATTTTGTTTCCCCCCTTCCTTCCTTGATTTAATAATTTCCTTCCTTCCTTCCTTCCTTCCTTCCTTCCTTCCTTCCTACGAGCGTTCTTTCTTTCTTTCTTTCTTTCTTCCCTCCTCCCCTCCTTCCTTCCTTTATTTTTACTTTCGTTCGTCGTTCGTTCGTTCCTTCCTTCCTTCCTTTATTTTTACTTTCGTTCGTTCGTTCGTTCGTTTGTTCCTTCCTTCCTTCCTTCCTTCCTTCGAGCGTTCATTCGTTTTTTTCTTTCTTTCTTTCTTTCTTTCTTTCTTTCTTCGTTCGCTCGTTCGTTCGTTCCTTCTGTCTTTTTTCTTCCTTTCTTTCTTTTTTCCTTCCTTCCCTCGTTCTTTCGTTCTTGTCTTCCTTTCTTTATTTTTACTTTCCTTCCTTCCTTCCTTCCTTCCTTCCTTCCTTCCTGCCTTCGTCCGTTCGTTCGTTCCTTCCTTCCCTTCTTCCTTCCTTCCTCCCTTTTATTATCTGAAAACCATCATGCAATGATTTACAAGTGGACTTTCACCCGACGAGGTGTTACAAGTACAACAGGTAGTGAGATGAGATTTCATGGAGACTGGTAGGAGGTGACGGCACCCAAGCCTTGGGTGGAAGAATTTTGACCGATGCCCTCCTCCCGTCAAAAACACTGGGTCCGTCGCTCGGGAGAGAAAGACACATAGATCATTCTCTGTTGTTTAATATGGCGACCGTGCACTTTGGGTGTCGGTCGGAGCTTCGTTGTTAATTAGAACTGTTGGTAAAAGATCAAAGTGTAACGGACAAAACGTCGACGTTAGGGAAAAGGGACACTTAGAAAAGTGTATGAGGTGAGTATATACCCACTCAGAGTACATAGGGGTGGGGTGTAAGGAATGAATCATATATAATACGAGTGCTTATGATCAATCTATCGATACTGGTAGGTTTAGAAAGACGTACACACATGTGTATATATATATATATATATATATATATATATATATATATATATATATATATATATATATATAAATCAAATTTCCATAATAGAGGTTTAACCTAATTAGCTACTATTTTTCCATAATATTCACTCTCCTTTAACCTTCTAATGCCGAATGTATAATTTCGTCCCCCTCTATAACCTCCTTGCATATGTCAATTAGGATTTATATACTTCCCTCTTCTAGGCTCTCCCCAACTCTCTTTCCATTAAGCCATTACATCCTTTTATCTATATATATTAATGTTATGTTTAAAACCCTTTTTTATTATAATTTTAATTTAAAATTAATATTTCATTCTTCATATAACCCAAAATTAATGTCATAAGGTTAATATTCGGGTTTAATTTTATGAATTTTCTTCCCTTTAAGACAAATACCTTCCACCCTCCCCTGACCCCTGTCTCGTGCCTTTCGTCTGACTGAAACATTGAAATTAAATTCTGTATAAGTTTTTCGCCTTTTTTTTTTTTTTTAGCTTTCACAGTTAAATTTCTATTTCTGTCACGAACTCAGTCCACACCGGGGTTGATAAGACAAACGACGTCTGCCGAAATAGACTATTCCCCATTTGAAGTGATTTTGAATTATATTGTTTATTAAGTATTTGCTCTGTAATAATAAATACATTGAGCTCTTTTTGGGGAACAGTTTTAATATTTTATATTATTAGGATCCACTTGGATTATATACCAACGGATTTGTTATCTTTACTAAATATATATATATATATATATATATATATATATATATATATATATATATGTGTGTGTGTGTGTGTGTGTGTTTGCGCGTGCGTGTGTCTCATTAAATAATTTAGACACGTTCTGTCTACTTATTTTTAATAGGAAACACTCGTAATTATGGACAAGTTTCTTAGTATCCTTATTAAAGGAAGAAAGAAAGCTACCATGTTGATATATATTCAGTTTATTTAGAGTACTTTCGACACTAGAACAATGTCAACATCAGTGTCTTGTTTTTTCTAAGACAAAAAATTGTTGTGTTCATCATTTCTCTATAAATTAAAAACCCCAAAAATGGTCTTTATTTTCACCAGGAATTAAAGCAAACATTCGAACTGCTCATGATCGGACATAATAGACATTCATTGTCTGTTATATTTAACAATATATGTTTAAATATATATATATATATATATTCATTTACTTATATTTATATATGTAGATTTTATTGAAGACCAATGGCAGTTCTTTCTTTAAGACTTGTTTTTATTTAAATTTTCTATGGTTCCGACCATTTTTTTGAGTAAGCGAGAGTGAGATAGAGTAAAATTGATGTCAACAGGTTGGCCAGCTACATATCTTCTCCTTGCTGAAACGACGAGGAATCAAAGGAATCTTGAAGAGGAAAGCTCGAACGAAAGCTCCTGACTTCTGTATTGTCGTGACCGTACTACTAGTTTTCGCTCGGTTTTCGTCTTATATGTAAACTTACACAAAGACCATACTTCACGGTTAGGATTCCACACGCACAGAATTTAAACAACCGAAACTCACTTCAGGTCCAGGCAATGCTGTACGAACGTCGACGATCATCGCTCTCTTCAACTTCGTTGTCCCTCGTAGCTCTTAATAAACTTTGTCTTCCTGTTACTTCTCGTAAACCCCGTTCAACCGTCCATTTAATCAAGCTCATTATGTTATGCGGTATTTTCCTCTGTCAATCTTGCCTTCTATTAGTCTCGTGAGTATCTGATTTTCCAAGCCCTCTTTCCTCATTGCGCACCCCAGAAACCTTAACTATCTCTTCCAGATGTTATGTGTTAGTTTCCTTTTTGCTTCCATTTTCTCCAAAACTTCGTTACCCACATGTTCGGTCAACGGTATCCTCAGCATCCTTCTATAGAACCACATTTGCTTCAAGTCTCCTCTTCATCTTAGCATAGATTGTCCAGTACTCACTGCCATTAAGGAGGACAGATATCACATAGCAGTTTAGTACTCTTTTCCTAGCAAAATCTTCCTATTTCTTAGTACTTAGCTTAATTTCATTGGCTATCCCAATATGCATTCGGATAACTCTTTTCATCGTCTGTTAAAACACTTCACACATATCTAAATTTCCGCACTTGTTTGATTTTGCTACTTTCAATTTGAAATTCTCACTTTGGTCTAATCCTTTTGCTAATAACTTTGCATTCTGTCTTCTTGAAGTTGATGTTTAATCCTTTCATCTTGTTTCATTTCATTCCATTCTGTAGGTGTTCTTGTAGGTTTATTTTTGTGTCTGCTATCAACACTGTATCATCTGCATATCTTATATTGTTAAGATTGTGGCCGCCAATAATGAATCCTGGTAGGACTTCTAGTTCTCTCAGAATCGCCTCGCAATATAAGTCCGATAAGAAGACATATCTTTCTCTTACATCCTTTTCTATTTTAATGTATTTACTGAACTCATTTGCTAGCCATATGCAGTCCGCTTGCTGTCAATATAAGTTCTCAATTATTCTTATATCTTTTCCAAATATATCAAAGGTTGCTAAGTAGTTCTTTATCGTATATATTATAGAAAGCCTCTTGCATAATATATAAAAAAAAACAAAAAAAACATGTACACTTCCTCCTGCTATTGCTCTTTCTGGTTGGTAAAATTCTTAAAATAAATATTGCGTTCCTTGTTACGGTGTCTTTGATAAACCCACATTGTTGTTGTCTTATTTCAGGCCTGATTCTTCTGCATGATCTATTCATCATAATTCGAATTATCAGTTTCGTTGCTCACATGTCCAGTCCATGGTATTCTCAGCATCCTTCTGTAGGACCACATTTCTGTTGCTTCAAATCTTTTCTTCAGTGCTTATATTATATAATAGTTCAGTACTCTTTGGTTTGTTTCTAATAATTTTTTTCTGTCTCTTAATACTTTGCTTATCTTCTGGAAAGCATTATTCCCTATCCCAATGCGTCTTTTGGATTTCCCTCTCAGACTTTCCGTCTTCTATTAAAACACTTCTCAGATATTTAAATTTTTGTACTTGTTTGATTTTGGTATTTCTAATTTGTAATTTGCATGTTGAACTCAGTAAAAACAAAACAAAAAACAAAAAAACGGTATATATTCTGTTGATTTACCGGGTTAGGTGGCGCTGTTGTAGGGACTCTAAAGGTTCTCCTAGCTTCGTCATTGCTCACATGTCCAGTCCATGGTATTCTCAGCATCCTTCTGTAGAACCATATCTCTGTTGCTTCAAATATTTTCTTCATATGTGAGGAGATTTGTCTCCTCTTCACTACCATATAGGAGGATTGATATTATAACAGTTCAGCACTCTTTTTTTTCTAATGAAATTTTCCGGTTTTGTTGATATTTTGTTTAGCTTTTGAAAGGTACCGTTTGCTATTCTAATTCACCTTCGACTTTCTAGGCCACACTTTCCGTTTTCTGCAAAACAATTCCCAGAAAGTTAAATTTCTGTACTTACTTGTTAGAGTGAGTGGATCGTGAATCAGATTAGCTAGATGTAGGATAGTCAGTAACAATCCAACCTTTCCTCACTTCCTTCTTCCACCTTGTGCCACAATTATCTTTAAAAATAAATTTCCCCTTGTCACAAAAATGTATTAAATTGATTTTGGTATTTCTAGTTTGTAATTTTCATGTTGAACCTAGTAAAAAAAACAAAAACAATACAAAAAAACGGTATATATTCTTTTGATTTACCGGGTTAGGTGGCGCTGTTCTAGGGACTCTAAAGGTTCTCTTAAGCTTCGTCCTTGCTTACATGTCCAGTCCATGGTATTCTCAGCATCCTTCTGTAGAACCACATCTCTGTTGCTTTAAGTTGCCTCTTCATCTTTGCGGAGATCGTCTAAATATAGGATCATAAAGAAGTAACCTGATTTCACTTTAAAGATCACCGGATGTGACAGGTAAAGTTGGTTGTTTTGTTTAGCGGCATATCAACACCTCTATGGGTTATTTAATGCCGAAATCTAAATATTTTGTACGCAATTTTATGGCTTCAACTAGATATTTCGTACATAATTTTGTACATTCAGGGCAAATGTATATTTAGATATACAGTCTGGAGATAAATGTATAGCTGTTAATTTTGCTATGAAAATGTATTTCTATACTTTTGTGCTGTATTGGTTGTCATTTTGCTATAAAATATTACTACTGTTATTTTTTTTAATAAATATATTGCTGATATCTTTTCCAGCATGTATCGGGAAATATGAAACAAAAATCAAAACAGTATTTTCTGTAGTTGGGACCCTAACAAGTGCCAGGGTGGAGCTGGGAACAAGAGCAGTTAAGAGGTGGTTCCGCACTCCTCAAAACTTCCAATGCTCCCATCAGATGCCTTGCTGCCGGATGTAGTTTATCGTCATACCCAGGACTAGACAGGTAACGGAAAGAGAAAAGAAATATACAGCAACTCATTGCAAAAAAAAAAAAAAAAAAAAAGAAGCCAATCAGCATCAGAAGGAAAACTGGTGTTTATGAGTTCTGAATTTCCTTTAGACTTAGTCAAAAACCAGATGTCATCGGATA